GCTCCCCGTGTTCGCATTCTGGCGGGACCCAATCACAGTACGGCACGTTTGCCTGATTCCCTATATAAGCAGCTGCAGTTTAGTCCTCGGGGCCCCTCACCTCCCGCTCTCCCTTAATCAAGAGGCGCTCCAATAAAGTGTGTTCTGAGAAGGATCCTCGCATGGTGGTCATTCTTCCTCGCTGGCCGAGGAGCGCGCCGCACTTTTTTTTTTTTGCTTTTTCGAGACAGGATTTCTTTGCCCTGGCTGTCCTGGAACTCACTCTGTAGACCAGGTTGGCTTTGAACTCAACAGAGGTCCGCCTGCCTTGCCTCCGGAGAGCTGGGATTAAAGATGTGCTCCACCACCGATTGACTTATCTTTTCTTACCCAGTGCCGGTGATGGTACTTGCCATAGAAGAATGTCAATGAGTGCTTGCTGGATGGAAAATGAGTGAATAATATAAATAAACAACTTTCAGTTTCCCCACAAGCACCCACTGCATTGACTTGAACATGTGAAAAAGCTGTTGCATGTGTAGGAATCGTATAAATGCAGATTGTTTACTTAATGATGTGTTAAGTCTATCAATTCCTCCAGATTAATTAGGCTTCTCATCTCTGAAAGATAGGGGTTAAATTAAAATTTTTCATCAGAGAAAAGAACTTATTAAAAATTTGGAACAAAAAATCCTAACTGGTGTCATTTGCCATAGACTGGCTCCAGGAACTTGGAGTGAACCTGTTTTAACTTGTATCTTCTGCTTTCCTCCTGACTGTTTCCCTTTTGGGTTACTTGCTCCCATATTCTGGTAAAGGTAGCCATGAATAGTTGCACACTTAACCCCCTAGATTTACAACACTACTTTTAAAGTAATTACTCAAATTGCTAGAGCTGATTTACCAGTTTAACCAACTTTATCAATTTCTTGAGCCAATTATTGTGACTGTGGGAGTAGAATATTCTGATTGGTTGAATCTGGGTCATATGCTAAGCTCTAGCATCATGGATCAGCTTCATTCAAAGAACATGGACTCAAAATAAAAAAGGGAGAAATAACAAGTTATAATTATCAGTAAAAAAAAAAAAAAAGAATACAGATACCAAGACAGTCAAAAACAAGTAACACTATTTCAAAAAATAGTGTTGTCAACGTGACAGGATCTGGAATCACCTAGGAGACAAATCAGCACAGCTATGAGGGATTATTTCGAACAGGCTAGCCTCTGGGCATGCTTGTGAAGGATTGCCTTGATTAGGTTAACTGAGGTGACAGACCCATATTAAAAGAGGCAGCACCACCATCTGGATGTGAGTTTTGAGCTACATTAAAAAGGAGACAGTGAGCTGAGTATGAGCTCTCTGCTTCCTCACTGCCCATGAAGTGTGGCAATCTGCTTTGAGCTCCTGTCGCCGTGATTTCTCTGCCATGATGTACTGTCACTTCCACTGTAAGCTAAAATAAAGCTGCCCTCCCTCAAGTTATTTTTGTCAGGTGTGGTGGTTTGAAAGTAATTGGCCCCCATAATCTCACAGGGAGTGGCGCTATTAGGAGGTGTGGCTCTGTTGGAGTGGGTGTGGCCTTGCTGGAGGAAGTGTGTCACTGTGGGGGCAGACTTTGAGGTTTCCTATGCTAAGGATACAGCCCAGTGTCTCAACTGCCTACAAGATGTAGGATTTTTAGCTACTCCCATACCACATCTGCATGCTACGATGCTCCCCATCATGATGATAATGGACTGGACCTCTGAAACTGTAAGCAAGCCACCCCAATTAAATGTTTTCTTTATAAGAGTTGCCACAGTTATGGTATCTCTTCATAGCAATAGAAATCCTAACTATGATATCAGGTCAGGGTATTTTATTTCGGCAATAGCAACTAAGACATTTTATTTCTCCAAATAAACCATTCAAAATGGAAACAGTTATGGCATATCTCTGTCTCATCTCTGAGCATTCTAACTACTGTGCATTGTACATGATATTTGAGAACTGTTCATATTCATTAGAAATATTATGTAAGACAGAAATAAATGCAACCTGGGATTTTAAATTTTCTTGTAGCTGCCATTAAAAAGTAAAGTGAAATTAATTTTAAGAATTTTTTATTTAATCTCATTCCTCCAGAAATTTGTCATTTCAGCATATAGTCAATATAAAAGTTATTAATGAAATACTTTTCATTCTCTTTTCTATGGTGCTTGAAATTCCATGTGTATTTTAAATTCCAGAGAGTTCAACTTAGATTGGCCACATTTCATAGTCACTATGCATAGAGACTATTCGACTGGGCAGAGCAGTTCTGGACCATGGAAGCCATTATAAACTACTAGGCAGAGTCCTCATTTTCTCCACTCTTCAACCAATTTCTTATCTTAAAAACCCCATTCTACTCTGCTTGCCTTTCTTTCTTCAATTAACTAGGATACTGCTAATGTATTCACAGAGTTGTAATTGGGAAAATGGAATAACGAGAAGTGTTTGCATGTTTTCTACTTTTCAAGAATAAGAACTGAAATGAAATGGCAAGTAGCACTGAACCTTTAATTCAGCCTGAATGACAGACAGCAATGTGAAACAGATGATCATATCTTGATGACAAGTATGGTACTACTTGGCAGGAATAAGTGAAGAAAGAATTTGGCTTAGTAGCATTAGATAGCTGCCCAGACAAATTCTACAAAGAATAGGAAGAGTTAGAAGAATCAAGTTACTCATATGCAGTTAATGAAAGAATTGCATCATGCACTTGGGGAACTCTCAAATACTAAGATAGGGCACACCTTAGCACACCATTATTCCAAAAATGTGTCAGGCTTGCAAGCACTGGCTTTGAGAAAAAAAATCCTCACAAGTGCTTTTCTGTACATTAAAAAAAATAGGATTGCTTTCTATTATGTATCCCTAGATTCAAATGCTTGTGTGGTACTTTGGGAATTATGCACAACTTATTGCTGAAATAGCATTTTCAAAATACTGCTCTCAAGCACTTATTGAGAAAGATGAAAAAGCTAAAATAATACATTCAAAATGCCAAGTATTTTGGGATGGGTTTTTCTTGATTTTTTTTCTCAATTCAAACTAAACTACAAAAAGGATTGAAACATAATATGATTTTATTTTGCAAATCAGTATGATTAGAATTTATGTGCAACTATAAAACTATTCTTTTACACAGGCATAATGTATTACTGTAAGCTGGGTGCTTTAACCTCAAAATGTCAATATTTAAGATGTATACTTTATCATAAAATGTATTTTAGACAGAAAGTAACATTTATCACTTAAAAATTCAGTAAACATTTTGGTCACCTGCTATAGGTCAGGAGCTGCACTCTCATCAATTTGATTGGATAAAGAGACACCTAGGGTGTTAGGTATACCATTGAGTATGTCCATGACGTGTTTCCAAAGATCATTTGCATGTGGGACAGCAACTGATGTTCTTCTATCCCGTATGCTGGAGACCTGGAGGGGACAAAGCAGAGGAAGGGAGAAGTTGGTTACACCAGCTTATTCTCTCTTTCTTCCTTTCTTCTTCCCTCCTTTTTTCCCTCCCCCATTCTCTGTTTCTCTCCCCCCACTTGCTGCCACAAGATTAGCTTCTTTCTGTGATGTTGCCTTGCCTCAGGTCCACACCATTGGAGCCAGCCCATTCTTGTGGTCAGGAAGGACAGCCATATTTGATCACACCCCCAAACAATTTGCACATTTCATGCAGCAGCCTTCATAATGTCTCTCATTAGTTATGGATTTTGGTTTTACATGTTAGCAAGCTACCTACTTCCTCTTCTTTTTTAAAAAAAAATACCACAAGAATTTATTGATGTAATTAAATTAATGAATAATTAAGCTGGTCATAATAATAAAACTCCAAATAACAAACATAACAAGAAAGACATATCTAGGAATCACCAGGTTTACATGTTGGCCAGGAACAAGGTAATTATATCCTTTAAAATATCTTTTCATAAGCTACTTATTTATTTTAAAAGAAAAAATACTTTTTGCCATATTGGCAAATGTGGGTTATACCAAATAAAAAAAGAAAATAACCCTAGTACCACCAAAAATTGGGACAAATAACATCCATGCCCAATATGATACTCACCACAGTGAAGGTAATTGCAAAGAGACACCAACCAGACAGAAATGGAACATCTTACAGAACAGACAACCTGCCTCTTAAAAGATTGTTAGAAAAAAAAAGAATGACTGAGACAGAAGGCAGTATGTACATTCAGTTTGTACACTGGTGAGTTCAACTGGAAAAGTAGACAAATAGCTATATAAGACATTCATTATCATAAGTGTTAACTATAGTTGGATATTATTTAGCAATAAAATGTTTCCTTGACTTTTTAAAAACTGCATTTTGTAAGAAAATATGCTTTTTCTCTTTCCTCTCTTATTGAAAATAATTTTCTTCTCATATAATATCCTGATTATGGTTTCTCCTCCCTCTATTCCTTCTAGTTCCTCCCTACCTCCCTTCCCATCTAGATCTACCCCTTTCTATCTCTCCTTAGAAAACAAACAGGCTTCTAAGGGATAATAATAAAATAAAAGATGCAAAAAGAAACACATTGGAATAAGACAAAGCATGCCTATCACTATAGTTTGTGTCATTATTTTTGTGCATGTAAAATAAATTTGTGATTGTTACGGGCTAAAGCCCTCCCCATGTTCATGTGACTTTCATAGTCTACGTACCTCAGACTGTGACTCTTTGGAGATAAGACTGGTAAATCAAAATGAAGTCACTGACTATGTCCTGGTCCAGTATGACTGCTGTCTTTAGAAGAAGAGGAAATTTGGATACACAAAGACTGGGAATGTAAGCCCATCAACAGCA